CCTTGGAGAGGGACATCATGCTTGGGAGGGTGGAGGGACGGCACAAGAGGGGAAGACCCTCTATGAGATGGATTGATTCAGTGACTGGGGTAATCGGGGTGGGTGTGTCAGAGGCAGTGCGATTGGCACAGGACAGGCAGAGTTTAGGGATGTTGTACATAGGGTCGCTATGAGTCGCAAGCAACTCGACGGCACATAACAACAACAACCTTCAAGTAGGATCTGACTGGTACAGGAGGAGATTTGCACCTCCTTCTCCAGCAGAGCATCTGGTAGATTCAAACCGCACACCTGTGGGATTGCAGTGCAGCTTCTTGCCTCTAGGCCACCAGAGATCCCTTTCATTTTACCATTTTCTAAATAATGTGGTACTGGCAAAAGGACAAACCTATAGACCTATAAAAGAGAAAAAAGAATCCAGAAGTAAACTCATCTATCTACGGACAATTCCTTTTTACAAAAGTGCCAAGTATAATCAGTGGGGAAATATTTTCTTCAAGAAAAGAATAGTAATAGGATAACTGGATGATGATTTTGTAACATTTGAATCAAGTGCAACTCGCAGCAACCCTAAGAACAACAGATTTGTTCCCGTCCCTATCCTGTGCCATCCTCATCATCTCTAACACACTTGAGCCCACTGCTGCAGTCACTGTGCCTGTTCATCTCATTAAAGGTCTTCCTCTTTTGCTGATACTCCACTTTTCCAAGCATGATGTCCTCTTCCAAGGAACAGCTTCTCCTAGTGACATAACCAACGTATGAGACAAACGTTTGCCATATTTGCCTCTAAGAAGCATTCTAAGGAGTCTTTTCCCAAGACATATCTGTTTGTTCTTTAGGCAGTCCATGGGATGGATATGCAGCACTCTTCTCCAACATCACAACTCAAGAGCATCAATTCTTCTATCATCCTTATTTACTGTCCAGCTTTTAGATGCATTCCAATTGATCAAAAGGATCATGGCTTGAATAAGGCACAATTTAATCATCAGACTGACATCAATGTTCTACAGTATTCTGGAAAGGTCCCTAATAACTACATGCAAAAGAATGAAGATGAACCTGTCTTATACCATATACAAAATGGCTCATGGTTTAAATGTGGGAGGAAAAAAAAGTTTTGAATCTTCAAGACACTATTAAAAACTTACCTTTCTATATCATCATCTTGCTGCCTGATGAAGAACTGATATAATTCAAACGGAGATGTCTTATCTCTGTTTAGCCAAACAGCATTGCCAGCTGACTTTCCCAACTTTGCTCCAGTTGTGCTTGTAATCAGAGGGACAGTAATTCCAAAAACATCTTTTCCAGTCAACCTAGGCATAAAGAAAAACTTCATTATTTCATTGAGTGCTTCAAGCATAAGGAGTGGTCGACTTTTGCCATTTACCCTTGGGATTTTAGGTTGGTCAGTTATTCCAAGGAATCTTTCCTGACTTACTAAACAAAAGTTACATTACCCTATGAAGTGCTTTCACAGTACTCTTAATGCACTCTATTTGTTATTTTGAACTGCAATGTGGCTCTGGACAACCCACAATGTAGTGCTAGGTAGGTAAGGATCAAAGATTTTTTTAAAAATAGAATAAGTGAGAAGGAGAGTAAGCTGGGTGACAGGAGAGTCAGAGAGAGACACTAAAGATGCTGCTAAAAAAAGGATTTTTTTAAAAAGCTATCGTGCAGGACATTGCCTAGTCTTATACTCTATTTTCTTCATAACAATGCCATTATAATCTATATTAGCCACACAACTGAAGTTTAAAAAATTTTTGTCTTGTGATGCTAATAAAATACCAGCACTAACTTCCTGGAGGATACACGGATAAAGCAGAGGCCACTTAATCAAGAAAGCCCAGGGAAGTATTATAAAGGAGTACTGGAAATTTAATGCCTATGATGGAAGAAGGTTAAAGAAACTAGCTTTCAGGGTGGATTGAACTTCAACATAAAGAAAATAAATTCTTACAATTAAAAGAAAACAAATAAAACCCTACAACTGGACCAACAAATAATATGATATGGAGAAAAGATGGAGCTGTCAAAGATTTCATTTTGCTCAGATCTAAAATCAACACCCATGGAAGCAGCTGTCAAGAAATCAAGATTATCTCCATGTGCCGGTTTCTGGGTGTAAAGGCACGAGGCTTGGAGTGGACGGTACAACCTGAGGGGATGCTCAGGCGCCTCCACTTGGGACCTGAACCGCTATGCTGCTCCTGCTGAGTGGCATGCAGGACCAAGGCACCTCCATCACCCACGCTCTGACTTCTGCCTCTATACTACAGAGTATACTGCCTCTATACTACAGCTTGACAGCAAGCTGAACCTGTGGGAAGATGGCTTGAAGGTTTTGTGAAGAAGAGAAACAAAAATGCTGCTGCCTCTTTTCAGGAACTAGAGGATAAGAAAGAGTTATCAGAGGACTCAAAAGATGAAGAATTGCAGTTAGAAGAGTGTCCCATGCTGAAAATACTTGATCCCAAAGACTGGAAGAATCAGGATCATTATGCAGTTCTTGGGCTTGGCCATGAACAGATCAAAGCAGCTTATGCAGGGGAGCTCTGGTGGCCTAGTGGTAAAGAGCTGCAACTACAATCCCAGAGGCGCACGGTTCGAATCCACCAGATGCTCTGCCGGAGAAGGAGGGACAATCTCCTCCTGTACCAGTCAGATCTGATTTGACGGTA